CGAAGGGAGTTTGGGACAAAGGTGGATGGTAAGAACAGAGAGGAAGAGGTAGAATGAGCAGGGAGGGAAGAGCACTAGGCACGGGTCGATGACCTGGGCCAGAATCCACGGGCTTAGTCAAGCCGCTCAGCGTCCTACAGACCCTCACTTAGTACAAAGTCCCCAAGCCTGCCCAGGTCTAAGCCAGGTGGGGTCCCAGTGCTGAGAGGAAGTGGCCGTAAATAAGCCCCCCCAACCCAGAAACTATCACCAACTGATAACCACTCACTTGCGCGCGTGCGCACGCACACACACACACACACACACACACACACACACACACACACACAGCGTTCTTCAATGGACTCTCGCTAGGTATACAGACCACACGTAAGGTCAGGTTTCATGCCAACACAAAACAAACTCAGTGCCGGTGTTGGAAGGTTTTTGGTTTTGTTTGTTTTGTTTTGTTGTCTCACAATACTTTGTCTGAGCACTTTTTTTTTTTTTTTAACCTTATGGTCTTCTGGTTTTGAGTTTTCTGAGACTTGTATGTATGTGTGTGTGTGTGTGTGTTTCCCAAGTCAGGATTTCTCTGTGTAACCCTGGCTGTCCTGGAACTCATTCTGGAACATACCAGGCTTAAGTGTGTTTCTTGTGCTTTTCTTTGGCTTTTTTTGTTTGTTTCTGTTTGTTTATCTGTTGCATCCTATTCTGGTTTGTTTTCATCTTATCTTATTATTATTATTTCTAGTGACTATTTGTTTTCTAATGAAAGACAGAAAGAGAAGATGCAGATTTGGATGGTGTGGAGAATCTGGAAGGAGTTGGGGAAAGGAAAGCCACAATGAAAATATATTGTACGAAAATAAATCTACTTTAAAAAAAAAAAAAAAGTCCCCAAAGACTAAATTTGCCTGTGACACGAGGAAGATGCTGAGGGATGGGGAGGGTGTTGTGGGATGCAGGGATGAGGCTCAGCGCCCAATCCAGTGCCCAGAGGACGGCGGTCCATGCACTTACCATTGTGGCTGTCCGTATCGCTGCCGATAAAGGAGTAGAAGTCATGTGTTTGGCGTTGGTAGAGCTCTGGCTCGTAAGTGACCAGCTCGTCCGACGGCTGCTGAGAGAGGAAGGTGTCAGAGACTGAGCTATTGGGAAGAGTCTGCAGAGGTTTTCTGCTAAGTCTGAGGCCTGCCACATTCGCTGACAGAGCACCTGGGAGCAGCCTTTGCTTAGGGACACTGTGGGCCAGGCAGTGGTGGGGTTCAGGACAGTGTGCTAAGGCAGGGGTGGGGTAGAGAGGTCAGGCGTCAGCAGGACCAGGGCTGCAAAGAGGGTGCAGCCCCTTACTGTCTTCTGCTTATTCTCCCTGTCACTTACACCCAGGCCTGTGGGGGCCTGCTGCCCTTTCTCACTCACACCAATGCACCCTTCCCCCAAATGTACAAATACCCCCCCCCCGTGACAGTTGCACCCAAACCCACGGGGACTCACCACATGTCCACACCCTCACTCATGCTCACCCTCTCACACAAGTCTACACATCCACTCTTAGAACCACTCACGCTGGCACACACATGGCTGGTCACTCACCCCTGCAGGCATACACAATGCCCACCTCACATCCCAGCCATCAGTGCTGTCAGCGCATTCACAGAGCCTTTCACCTGGCCAACCGCATTCCACGCTCCCCCAGGCGACGCTGTGTCCTTCGGCAACAACCTGCCCCCGACTCCTCCCTCCCTGTCAGCCTTTGTCCAGCCAGCCCCAGGCAGACACAGACTTCCATGATGACGGTCATGTTGATGATTCATCTATACAAAGGCCACCCAGGCCGGTTTTGGGGACTAAGGGATAAAGGGCCTGGACTAGCCCTTCTGCCTCCTCCCTCGAGTGTCCTTGACGGGAGACTCCATGCCACTGTTCCTTTCTCCTCTTCACTCTCTTCCCTCTTTCTTCCTGTCTTTCTCCCCTCCCTCCTCCATCTTCTCTTCCTCTCTCTTCTCCCTCTGCCTCCTCCATCTCCTCTCTCACTTGCTTGGGCACAGGGATATGCACACCCCAGCCTTCTCGACAGTCATCAGGCTTCTCTCCACCCCCGCAGAGTGTGCCCAAGGATTGCACAATAGTTCCTGTGGCCTTCAGGACCTGCTTGGTGGGCCAGGGCCGCCTTGGGAGCCCACCCACTCAGGAGACACTTGGAATGGCTTCTGGGGCTGAACAGAGGGGCCAAGGAGCTGTGTGGGAACTCAAGGTCTGCCCCTTGCCCATATCTGCAGGAAGGAGAGGTCAAGGGTCAGGGACAGTAGCTTCACTTGAGGCAGAAAGGACCTTCTCTCTATCACCCCTGCTTGCCCAGCACCTTCCCCATCCTAGGTAAGAGAAGGAGATCAAGTTGAAGGTGAAGACAGTGAGGTCTAGCCAGGCTGTCCACTCCACTGTGAGGGGGCCAGAAGCTGCCCCGCTTCCCTGGGCCTGCCCCTGCTGCAGGACCTTGGCTATGATGTCAGGCCTAGGGTGCCTCCTAGGCTGGAAGCTGGGTGGGGTAGAAAAAAGATCTGTCCCCAGTACGGGAAAGCTGAGTCAGGTAGGCAGACCCTGCTTAGCCCTTCCTCACTGCCCCAACACCCCCCAAAGGTAGGAGAAAGCAAAAAGGTCCTTCCTAAGGGACTCTGGCCTGCCCTTTGCCTAAAGCTGTGACTGTCACTGGAAACAGGAGGACAGTGGAGAGCCCCCACCTCCTTCTGTCCCTGTCCCACCTTAACTGTAGTCAGATGCTCAATCCAGGTCCTCCTACTCCAGCCCCAATCTCTGTCCCATTCTGGTCCCTTCACCCCATTTCTTATAGAGCTCAGTTCTAGCCACAAATCTAACTGCACTGTTTCTGCTGTGCTCTTGCCCAGCCCGGCCACCCAAAACCTCCAGCCACCCTTGGCCACTGCCCGGGACTCTCAGGTCCATGCAGGCCCAAAACCCAAACATTCCGATCAACAGCCATTCCCCAACAAACTGAATGTTGGGGACCCATGGGTGACCCAGAGTTCTAACAGTCTTTGTCTCAGGACTGTTCAACCCACAGGTCATGGGTTGAAAGCTCTCCTGTTGCCTGGGGAGCCTCCTAGGCCAGTCTCAAGATCTCACCCATGGCCTCTCGGTAGCCGCCCTCACCATCTTCAGCCCCGTTCTCTGCCCTAGAGCTCGGCCTGCTACTGAGCCCATCTATAAATAGTTGTTCAGGCCCCATCGATCACAGCCCCACCACGGGGCCAGCCAGCAACCCTCAGCCCGCCAAGGCATGCTCTAAGGAAGCCAATGGCCCCTCGCTGGGTCTCAGGCCAGCGGCTCCGGGGAGGAAACACCAACTTCCCACTGATAGGGAGCCGGAGGGCAGCGGGTGGGCTGGTGGGTTAGTGGGCAGACGGTCACACATCCCAGGGCCCCAGGCTGGGCTGCTAGTGAAGCCCCAGTACTCACAGGGGGGACGAGGGGGAACCCTTCCATTTTGCACGCCTGTAACATCCAGCTGAGCTCCAAGTTGGTCAGATCCCCTGGCCTCGGTGGGGATCAAGGCGGATCCCCTCAGGACCAGGTGCCCCGTCGGGGGGCTGGACGGTCGTGGGTCAGACGCAGGGCTCAGGCCTGCCCCCTGAGCTACAGGAGCCCTGGGTGAGCCCCCTCCCTTGACATTGCAGGACCAGCACAAGTTCCTGATTTTATCGAAGGGCCTGCCACTGGGAGATAGTCCCCTTGGGGTGACATCACCGCCCCAGCCCGTTTGCATAAATCTCTTGCGCTACAGGAAGTCTCTGGCCGGCTGGGGCAGGTGGTTCTCAAAGGGCTGCCCTAGGAGGCCATGGGGCCAGGCCCCCTGCCCAGAGGAAACTGGGGCTGGGAGGGAGAAAGGCTGACACTACCATGGAAGGCCTCAGCTGCCCCAGCCGCTAGGCTTAGCTGAGGTTGTCAACCATTCTTCTAACCCAATAATACCGACTTCTCAGACTCCTATCACGGCCAAGAGTCACCTCTTTGGGGGTCAGAACAATGACAGCTTGGGTTCCCTTATTTCTAGGGTAAATTTGGCAGATGGAGGACTTTGGTCCCAAGGCCGCCAGGCTTGGCGTTTCCTGTAGCCCTGGAATCCATGCTAGGTCAGGTCGACCTAAGCCTATTAGGGCCTACAGTGCACATTGAGTCTTGCACACTTTATCTCTTTTTCTGGATCCTCAAGTGGGCTTCCCTGCCACCCGGGAAGAGCCTTGGCTTTTTACATCCTCCCCCGCCACCCCCAGCTAAGTACCACAGCAGCTTCTTGATACCTAAGGACACTATTCCGAGCCCAGAGGTCTCAGTTTCCCCAACCCTGGAATGTTAGTATCTGTCTAGTCTTCCTAGTTTATAAACCCTCCTTGTATGTTCATCCTTTCTTTGTTTTCCTATCCTTACCTCTTTCTGATTGTCTCTTCAACCCATCATACCAGCCACGTATTTACTCACGTCTGTTCATCCAACTGCTCGTTTATTTTCCATCAATCAGCTTGTCCACTTACACTTGTGTTTGGTGACATGTTGATTGAGCCACCTGTTTGTCCAATGTCATCCCGTTCATCTGCTAACAGTTTATTCTTTTATTTGTTTATCAATCTGCTCATCTGTTGATCTAGCCAGCCAGCCATCCTCTTTCATCTACACTTACATTCTTTTACCCACACATCCCTCTATTCACTTAATCCATATATCCACTCATTCCTTGCCTGCCTATCTAGCCATCTCCCTGTCTACCCACCTACTAACCTATCCATCTTTTAATCCACTTCTCCATCCATTCACCTCCCTAGCCATCGGTCTACCTGTCTCCCCATTCACTCACCCACTCACCCATACCATGTACCTATTCATTCATCTATTCACCCAACTATTGATTGATCGTTCTGGTTACGTATCTACCCATCCATTCTTCTATCTATGTATCTTCCCAATGTTCATTGAACTCCAAGCTCTATGCTGAGTTGGGGGAAAGTAGAAAAGTTTCCTGCCCTTTAGACATCAAGTCTAGAGAGTAGAGCAATAGCCCAGTTCTCCCAACCTGTCCCCCGCTTCAGCCCTCGAGCACACAAACCCCTCTAGTGAGACTACTCTGCTGGGGGAGGACTTTTTAGTTTTGATTTGGTTTTGGTTTTTTGGAGACAGGATTTCTATGTGTAGCCTTGGCTGTCCTGGAGCTCACTCAGTAGACTAGGCTGGCCTTGAACTCAGAGATCTGTCTTCCTCTGCCTCCTGAGTGTTGGGATTAAAGTCGTGTGCCACCCCTGCCTGGGTAGGGAGAATTTCTTGATCATTCAGTTTCCTCCTGTGTTTTATATAAAAATTCCTCCTCTTGTTTTATATAAAAATTAGCCAGATCCCTCCACATACACCCATAGTTTCTCACCGACAGCAAAAAGGCAAGGACTCATAGCCTACTCACTTGTCTGTGAACCTCACCTCCATCCTCACTGTTTTCTTGTATCTCCTCTTGGGACTCCCCCAAAGGGTCCAGACCCCACAGCCTCAGGACTCCTGGGAACCTGACTCAGGCTGCTCTCTAAGAGGAGGGAAGCTACAAACCAGCTCTGTACCAGCAATGTTGCAGTTCCTCACTTCCTCAGCAAAGAGGCCAAGCTCCAGGTGACTAGATGATAGGGGGAGAGTGTCTGGGACAGGAGAACCACGCCCTGTCTGATACATTCATTCACTAATTCATTGCTACGGTTTGTTTTACAAGGGTCTTGCTTAAGGTATCCCTGACTGGCCTGGAATCTGCTGTATAGATCTTCAAATTTGTATTCATCCTCTCATCTTTGCCTCGACAGTGCTGTATTCTAGGTGTGAGCCCTCAAGCCCAGTCCTGAGTCCTTCCTTTCTTTCCTCCCTCCTTCAACAACTCCCTTCTGTGCTATGCTTTCAGCTGATACTTCTTTGCCACAACCTCTAGCCCTCTGACTCCCGAATCACACAGCTCACGGGTACAGGAGAGGGTGTCCCAGCAAGAAGAGGGAGGGGGCCAGTACTCCAAGGAAGGGAAAGAGAAATAAGATACAAAGGTCAAAGGAGAGAAGCGAAGCTGCAACAGAAGCCTCAGGTAAGTGGGGAGGAGAATAAGAAAGGAGAGGACACAGAGGAACAAGGGAAGATGGGACCTCAGGCAGCTGGTGGTCAGAAGGTGAGTGGACCTCAGAGAAGGAAGCACACCCCAGCCTCCTTCCTCTACAGGAGAGAGCGTCCTGGACTTTCTGAAGGTCACTGGGTGCCTCTTGATGGACAGCGCTTTTGACTCACTCTTGTTGGCAGGAAATTGGTTTGGAGCCAAAAATATTGGGACCTCCAGGGAATAAAAAAGAAAAGCAAAGTTTTTAATCCTTTTTATTTTTGAGTTGATGTTGCAGGCGTCTGATATAGACTTCAAGCAGTATGAAAACGTCAACACCATCCCAGTTTCCCTTGCGCAGGCCACCTCACCTGTTACGTGACCCTCCCTAGGGTCGTTCTTCATTCCTTTACAATTTTTACCCAGAAGGTAACACCGTGTTTATGATGGGGTGAAGATTTTCAATTTTGATCTTTTCTAGGCCAAGCAGTAGGCGGAGTGAGACTCACTCTCCTGCCGTATGCACTGGCTGGTTCAGCTTCCACCCATCAGCTGACTGTGAACACTGTTGCTGAGCTAGGATGGGAAACAGCTTAAATACATGAAATGCCTTTTGAAAGGGTTTATCTGCGTTACTCCGAGTTACGTGTATACATGTAGGAGTGATGTGCACATGAATGCAGGCTCCCTCAGTCTTCAGAAGTGGGGGTCGGCTCTTCCAGAGCTGAGTTACAGGTGCTTGTCAGCTACCTGATGTGGGTGCTGAGGCCTGAGCTCTCAGCCTCTGCAAGAGCAATACATACTCTTAACTGTTAAGCTATCTCTCCAGCCATTTAAATGCATCCCCCCCCCACCCATACTGAGTTTCTCTGTGTAGCCCTGGCTGTCTTGGAACTCACTCTGTAGACCAGGCTGGCCTCAGTCTCAGCGATCAGCCTGCCTCTACTGTTGCAGGATATTTGATCCCATTTTGAACCCCAAAACTGTGAACTGTAAAGCCCTGTTTCTTGCTTGGTTTGATATCAGCCTTATCTCGCACCTTTAATTCAAGAACTTTCCATTTATTGTAAACAGGTGATTATGGTATGGTTCATTCAACTCTCTCACACACCTTTAATCCAGGAGCTCTCTGTACACAGGATTTAATAAAGTTAACTCTAGGTCAAGAAGCAGAGCAAGAAACCAGCTGGCAGGGATTAAAGAGTAGAAGGGACTTGACTTGAGGGGTATTTAAGACAGCTCAGAGAAGCAGAAAAGCTTTTAAAAGCTTAAGCTTTTAGCTTAAGCTCTGGTTTTTGCTTTGGCTTCAGCTCCTCAGCTCCCTGGCTTTGGGGACTTTAAGCTAAAAAGCCTTTGGCCTTAGGTTTTTTGGCCTTTTCCTCCAGGGATGTCAGCTGAGCTAGTGAGCCTTTTGGGTTTTTTCTATCCAGACCTGAGCTCAGAAGGAAAGGTCAGCTGGTTACTTTCTCTGCTTCTCCGAGCTAGCAGGTTTTCACCCCAGCATCTGGCTCCAGAGTCCTTCTTGGTAAAATAGAACCCTTGGGACTTTCATTTTCGTTTATAACAACACTCTGTTTCCAGAGAGCCGAGATTAAAGGTGTACGCCACCACAGCCCGGCATGCATACACTTTTCAGTGAAAACATACTGTGTGTGTATCATGTGTACGATAGGACAGGTATATGTGTGTCATAGCGCAGGTGTAGAGGTCAGAGGACAAGGTCGTGAGTCCATTTTCTTCTACCGTGTGGGTGAACTCAGGTTACCCGGTTTGAGCAGTGCCCTTACCTGCTGAGCCTGCCCGATGGCCCTCTTAAACGCACTTTTAACTTTCAGCACTTCCAACTCCTGATTAGGGCAAGTGAGATAGCGCCGTGGTAAAGGCGCTTGCCACCCACTTTTGACCCCATGGATCCACACGGTGGCGGGAGCACACTAACTCCCACCGGTCGTCCTCTCATCGCCACACATGTGCCCGGCACACGTGCACATCCCCACCCCACACCGATGCACACACACTACATGTGTGTAAAAAAAAACAAAAAAACAAAAAAAAAAAAACTTTAAACTTCTTTTCTTGAGATAGTGTCTTGTTATGGCTAATCCCAAAGTCCTGGGCCCAAGTGACCCTCGGTGTCATAGGCAGCAAGGACCGCAGCTGCAACGAGGCCGAGGGTTTGATTCCCAGGTACTGACAAGCTAAGCAAAAACAAGCAGCAAGGCCACCACGCTCAGCTGCTCATCTGCAGGCTATGGGACGCCTGTTCATAAAACAGCGTACACGATGTATGTCTGTGCAGTTAGAGACAACTGTGAAGTTAACACCTGCGAAATCCCTATCCGGGTCAAGACATGAAACTCTAGGGCTGGGAGCAGAGCACTGCTAAAGAAGAACACAGGAAAGAGGAGCCCAAGCTCAAAGCGCCCTCCCCACCAGCTCCTCCTAGAAAGGACTCTACCCTAACTGTCATTATTTCCTTGATTTTTCTTTCTGGGCCTGGGGATCTCACATATGCCAGGCAAGTGCTCCTATATCCCAGCCCTCCTTTATTTTATTTTATTTATTTTATTTTATTTTTTTGGTGTGGGGGTAGGGTGGAGGCTTTGAGACAGGGTTTCTCTATGTTGCCTTGGCTGTCCCTTGCTCTTTGTAGACCAGGCTGGCCTGGTCACAGAGATCCACCTGCCTCTGCCTGGGATTAAAGACCTACCAGCTCTTTTACATTTTAATATGAAATAAAGTGTCACTAGATGGCCCAGCAGGCCTTGAACTTGCGGCCCATCTGCCTCCTCCTCTCCAGAAGCTGGAATTGGCGGCCTGTGCCTCCAGTTGCACCCTCTTCTTTGTGGTACTGGGGATGGAAATCAAGGCCTCACAAATTCGAGTCACAAATGCCCTGAGTTTTAATCCTGTCTTGTCTGCTCTTCCTTCTAAACATCTCTAAAAGTAAATTCTAGTTGTTTACTTCTATTTATTTATTTACTTATTTATTGAGACCATGCAGGTCTAGATAGCCTGGAACTTAACTATAAAACCTAGACTGGCTTTATATATGTGTGTGTATGTGTGTGTGTATATATGTGTGTATATATGTGTGTGTGTGTGTATATATATATATATATATATATATTTTTTTTTTTTTTTTTGAGATAGGATTGCTCTGTGTAGCCTTGGCTGTCCTGGACTCGCTTTGTAGACCAGGCTGGCCTCAAACTTACAGAGATCCGCCTTGCCTCTGCCTCCCAGAGTGCTGGGTTTACAGGCGTGCGGCACCATGCCCGGCTATCATTTATTTTCATAACAGAGAGTAAACAGAGGAAACTTGTGGTATCGCTTCTTTCTCCCGTGTTGCTGCATGTTGCTGTGGCTCGATATTGCTGTGGCTGGGTAGTTGTCCCGCCGTCACACTTTCTGTAACCAGCTCTTTATCGTTTTGGGTTATTTAGAGTCTTTTATTCTTTCTTTTTTCTGGCCTCGAACTCACAGGTCTTCTGTTTCTGCTTCCCGAATGCCGCAGTTACAGGCTCACTCGGCTCTACTCATCAGTCTTTTGCTGTTGATGAAATACAGTAGTTTGTACACAGGCAGGAATATGTCCAGCAAAACTGCCTAACACTTGAACTATCAGGTCAAAGGGCAATGCGTTTTACCTTCTGACAGGGATGATGGATAGATACTGCCCCGTTGCCTTCAACTAAATTGTACCTATTTGTCCTATTAGCAGCACATGGCAGTGCTGCTCTCCCCTCCCCCACCCTGGACAAGAGGGTGGCCTGCAGCGTGACAGGGAGATCAGGCAGCCTGATGGTTGTATATCCCTTTGCCCCGTCCTGACTGGTGGCTGATGGGGGTGGCCAGGGTGTTAATGCAATCGCAGAGTGGGCCAGCAACAGGAAATCCAACAGGAGTCCTGAAACTGCAGACTCCCCCCCCCCCCCCCCAGCCCTTCACCCCAGCCCAAAGGGCTGAAATGGTGATGGAGCTCCCCTTCAAGCTTTCCTATCCACAAATCCCCGGGAGCTGTGGCAAGACGCGTGTGAAAACACAGACCTCACCACCAAGGGCTGGGAAAGCTGACCATAAAGAGTTGAGCCCATGTACTGAAATGGCCGTCTTGCAACTTCCTCTCACGGTTGAGACACTGAGAGAGGCTTTCTGGGGCCCCAGCCCATGTCACTCGGGCCCCTCGGAGCTCTCCAAGCTTTGGACGGAACACTAGTTTGGCTCTTGAGAACATGAAGACAGTCAATCAATATTTACTTGGATTCTCTAGATGCCAGGTGACCAGAAGAGGCAGGGATCTTTCCCCCGGCCTCATGGCAGGGACACGGATATGATAAATAGTCCATGGGCGGGCGGTGACCTCCACTGCCCGTTAGAAGGCAAAGGAAAAGAGAACATGCAGCTGGCAAAGGGGCTCGCATGCTGGAAGGCTGAGGTGTTAAAGGGGACAAGCAGAGCAGAGCAGACAGGCACATTTCAGCCAGCCCCGGACACAGGTGAGGGAATGAACACACTAGGTTCCCGAGGGAAGTGTTCCAAGCTGCAGGGACCCCCAGCCTCAACACCTCAAGACACAGGAACAGCAGAATAGCCCTAAGAGAAGAACCAATGGCCAGAGGGGGCGGGTCAGACATGGGGGCTAGAGTTAGGCCTTGAGTTTGATTGTGGGCACAGTGGTGGGCACAGTCTCATTCATAAAAAAAAAAAAAAAACCTGACGTTGCTTCTATTATCATCCTTCTAGGAGCAACTGAGGTTCGGCCAGGGCTTTTTAAGTACTGTGGGCAGTTGGCATTTATTGAGCTCCTACTGTATGCCAATGTTAACTCATACTACCTTCCTGTGGTTCTATGAGGTAGGCCTTACCAGTGCTATTTTGCATGTGAGAGGAATGAGGCCAGAGAGGTGAGGGTCATGCAAAGGGCACACACGTGCGTGGGGAGTGGGGCCGGGGTGACTGCAGCTCTGAGTGCCCCTAGGGCCTGGGCCTCTGCAGCTGTCCCAACTCTGGGGTTCTTGTGTCTCCTCACGCCTGAAAGTCCTCGTTAGCTCTTGCCTGTCCAGACCTGAAGCACACACGCTGCAGGCCTGTGTTGGAGCCTCCTACACTGGCAGGCCAGCCAGCTCTACCCCCATGGCAGCCGGAAGACAGTCCCACTCCACATTCCCAGAACCTCTTTCTCAGTCTCCCACAGACTTTGCTCACAGGCTCACCCTCTTCCACACCCTAAAGGACACTACCTCTCCAAGGCTTAACTCCTCCAGACTGCCCTGTTTTCTCAAGTTTGCCCTATCTTTTTCCAAGCCTTGCCTCAATTTCTCCTCCCTGTTCTACTCCAGCTCCTGGTCCCGTGTGCTCCAGCACCAGTGACCAGAAAGATACAAATCTCCAGATCAGTCCACACTCCTCTGAATCGTCTTCTACCCTTTCTGCTGCTGACCAGGCCTGCAGATGCGGAGCTCACCTCCTGGCCACATCACTCAGCCTCCGGCACCTCAAACCCACCGCCACCCACAGCAACTTCCGCCTGCTCACCACGGGGCAGCGCCACACCCCCAGTTTGCTCGCCGAGCACAGGAGCTGCTTCCCCACTCAGGTCCCCTCCTCTGTGCAGCCCCCTCTACCATCCCATCTCTGAGCTCCTCTGGAACCCCCTCCCCACCTCGTGGATCATCTGTGTGGTCTTCTGTTGAGTTCCTTTCCCCTCTCCAGAGCTCAGACACAGCTCTATAGAGAAGCATCAATAGGAACCACTTCACAGCCTTGCTCCCAAGTCTAAAAGTCTAGTTGGTGCATGGTTCTTTCCTTGGCCTCTGCAAACAAACTCTTCCTGAGGCCTGGAGAACAAGCAAGCACAGAGCTCTGAAGCACTCGGGTGACTCTTATCCCTCTACTTCACCCTCTACATAGCTGCCCGATTCTAGGGACCGCAGGCTCTTCATCCCCAGGTGGGAGCAATACTAGAAGATAGCTCTGGGAACGGAGGTAAGTAGGCACGAAGTCTGTGTGGGACACACAGGCCAGACATCTCAAGCTGGGAGAGAATTCTCAGTCCTGTCCCTAGAGCTCAGCATCTCGCTTAGTCCTCAGTCCTCTGAGAGCCTCTGAGAAAAGGAGCCAGAGAATTAGAAGAGAAGAGCTGGGAGGTACCTCTCTTCTGCTGGTGGACAAGTCCCCATCAACCTAAAGAGGCAGTGTTTCAGGGCCCTCTGCTCTCAGAAAGAGAAAGCCAGCCTGGAAGGCCTGGATTGGGTAGAGGACCCTGTGACTGGATGAGTGGGCTCTTAAAAAAAAAAGAAGGAAAACTAGGGATGGAGAGATGGCTCAGAGCACTGACTGCTCTTCTGGAGAACCCAGGTTCAATTCCCAGCACCCATGTGGTGGCTCACAATTATGTATAACACAGTTCGAAGTGGTGTGACACCCTCACACAGACATGCATTCAGGCAAGACACCAATGCACATTAAACAAACAAACAAACAAACAAATAAATCCCTTTTTTAAAATTAGAAGAAAGAAAAAAAAAAAGAAGAAAGAAAACTAAGAATCAAAGAGATCCCGCTGTGGGCCCTGTGCCCTTGTTTTTTCAGTAAGATTTTAGGCACAAATTGCTTCTGCTTTATAAATAAACAGGGGTTCAGTTCAGGCCACACAGGTAGAACGGGGCAGGTTTGCCTCCCCTCAAATCTGTTGTTTTCCGGGAGGCTGCCTGAGGTTATGTGTTTGGGGTTTTAGTGACAGGGTGAATGAGGAGTGCTCAGTGAGGTTTCTGAATTCTACTTCCACCCTACGGAGTCTAAGGTCAGTTCATGGCTACCGAAGCCCTCCAGCTTGGGTGGGAGACAGACCAATATGTTGGGTCTACAAGGAGTTAACTTTGTGAGGGGCCTGAGTGAATCAGACACTCCGCAGGCTGCAATGGAAATTCCCTGTGTATGGCATGTGGTCACCCAGAAAAGGGAAACGGTGCTTTTCGGAGCAGAGGACAAAGGGGGCCGGAGCCTGGGAGCAGACGCCTGCCCGGGTGGGGCTGTCAAGGGTGCTGTGAACAGGGAGACCTGCCTTCTCGCTCTGTTCAGGCTCTCGGAAAGAGGAGGGAGGTGAGGAGCTGTCAGGCCAGGCCTGGTCATGCAATGGTGTGTCCGAGAAGGGCCTTGGTAGGTTGGTAGGAATTCAGCAAAGTCAAGAGCAAAAATCAAAAGGCACACAAGGCCATGGGACCCGCTGAAGCTGAGGCGTGGTGATTCAGCATGGAGAGCCTATCCGTCTTGCTTTCCTGTCATGCACGGACCATCCTAAGTAGCCCCTCTCCTGGACCTCCTCTCCCTATCCCAGACAACACTCATTACTGCTCTCTTCCTCCCACAGCCTGCTCTTGACACTCTCAGGATTTTGTAGCTCATCTGCCTTCCCCAATTCAAGGGTCAAAGGATGAGTCTCAGCCATCGAGACCCTGGGCACTGACACAGGGTTGGCGCTGGCATGGCCTACTAACTAAACGTCTGTGAGAATTCAGAGAACTAGAGGTTAAGCCTCAGAGAAGCCAGGTAGGACTCAGCCAGCCAGCTGACTGCAAATGAACCAAGTTCAATCTAGCACCTTTCCCTCAGCCAGGACATGGTGAGACAGGAGGATTAGTTGGGCAGAGAAGGCTAGGGCTGCTGGGCATGAGTAACGCAGCCAGGGAAGGGCACAGCTCCGGGGCCTAAGGCCTGCTTCCTTCTCAGGTCATCTCTGCTTCTGTCCTTGTCACATCTGGGAAATGTCTGCCCTGCCAGAAGGGAGACCGAGGAGTGAAGGGGGGGGCAGGCAGAGGAGAGGCCATGTCCTTCTAGCAGCATGCCCTTAGATGCGTGGCTCCCTCTCGGGGCCTCTGTTTCCACTTTATAACGGATAAAGAGATTGCTTTGTTTCCAAGACAGACAGATAACTGTGAGCTCTGAGCCTCCGTACCAGTGTGGGGAGGCTGTCTACCCACAGTAAAGGGTTTCCTAGTTTGTTTTTGAAGCTAGTCTCCAGACTAGCCCTGAACTCGGTATTTACCAGCGGATGACCCTGACTTTCTCACCCTCTTGTACCTTCTGAGTGCTGGAATCACGTGTGTATACCACCACAACTGCTTGTATGCGGCTGGGAACCAAGCGCACTACCTACTCAGCTCCATTCTCAGCCTCCAAGATGTTGCATTATCGGTTGTCTTCGGAGCCTTTTGAAGTACCAACCTGACTACTAGTTTCTAGGCAGTGCTGGGCTATGGTCCTCACTGTCTCAGCTCAAGTATGGACCGCCCAAAATGCCTGTTTCCCTCACAAGCTTGACCTGATGAGGGACTGAAATTCAATTTGAATAGAGTGATGGCCAGGGCTTCCTGCGTGTTGACCCCTCGTGTCCACTGTAAAGGTTAAGAAGGGCCAGAGAAGCCGCCCTTGGGTGGAGGCTTAGCATGGTTTCGGCCATTGAGGTTGGAGCTTTTCCAAGCCTGAAAGGGAACTGAGAACTGTGGGAATGTGTTTGTGCAGGCCAGGGTGGCCTGGGGCTTGTGGGAGGGAACAGCTCTAAGAGCTCTGATTGTTGGGGTCCTGGGCTGAAAAGGTGACCCCCAGGAAAGTACTGTGGAGGTCAGGGGTCACTATGAGGTGCCTGCAGGGAACCCAGAGCTGACCAGGCAGTGGGAGGTTGGGGAGCTGTGCGGGGAAGGAAAGAGGAAGCCATGGGGAGAGGGGGCTGGGCCAGTGAGGATGGAGTGGGAGTGGGGGCTGGGGACCTGGAGCCAGTTTGGCCACAGCCACTTCACTTCTCCTGGTTTCGGTTTGTAAATAGCTGCTGGCTCTGGCTCCATGCAGGCGGGATATGCCCTGTCCCTCTATGACCTGTGTCCAGTGAGGCTTGGGCCCGAGGGGCTTGCAAGCGCTTAAGCCGGAGCTTCGAGAATCACAGTCAGCCTCTAGTCTGAGTGGGTGGGTTCTGTTGAGCCCAGCTCTGGGCAGCTCGACCTGTGGTCACTGAGGTAATGCAGCTGGACCGGAGGAGCTGCAGAACTTGATGACCTGGCCAGATGGTGCTTATTTATAACTGGACCTCCGAGGCCAGGGCAGCTGCTGTGTTGCCAACTCAGCACTCAGGCTTGCCTAGGGCACGGAATTGTGGAGGCCAGGCTGGTCCAATGGTCCCTTAGCCTGAGAGGACTCCAAAGTTTCTTCAACTGGGACTGGTCCCTCTGCTGTGGTTAGCAGATCTTGGGATTAGAGGGGCGCTTCCTGTGGGGTACACATCTTAAAACATCATAGGCCAAGAGGGTGGCTAGCTAACTTAGTCCATGAACAAACTGGTTAACGTCCAGGGGATTGGGCCTCAGCCTTCTGGAAAGATGTTCCTCCTTCAGGGGCCAGATGCTCTCTGCCAGTCACTAGAAGCAGAGTCATCCCCTCCTGTTCTTGAAATACCAGCACAGAAGCAAAATAGCTTCGGGAAGAGGCAATGTCAAACCCCAAGGCCTGCCCCTAATGGCAACACCCATCTCATCCCAGCAAGCAAGCTGACAAGTGGGGACAGGACTGGGTCTCTCCCCAGGCTCCTGGGTCATATATCATATGGGTCTCCATGCTCTTGGAAGACGGGAACCCTGAAATTGACTGCTAGTCTTCTCAGAAAGCATGCTAGGGGTGTGTCAGAGCCCTTTCCAACATCTGCCGGGATAAAAATGTCCTTCTGCGTCAACTACAAACCCACTTCTCTCCCTCTGTTCTGTCAATACCAGGACTGTCAGACTTGGTTCTGGCAGGTCCCATCTGCCTGAACTTACCCCTGTCCCCGCAGTTCCCTTTATGCCAAGGTCTATGCCAAGCCCACCTCTGGGGGGCTCAGCTTCAGTGCTTTCCCCAGAGCTGTGGCGCTTGGGGTGTGAAGCTCAGCGGATACTGGGGTTAGGGCCAGTGTGGGCTAGGGATTTGATATCATGGCTGCCATAACACTGCACAAAATCAGGAAGCAAGGGCTGGAGCGTGGAAGAGGCTGACAGTGGCATTTAAAAAGAGAGACAGAACCAAACCCAGAACCATGCGCCCTCACTCCCAGCCTAGCACCCTAGGTGCTGACCTCCTGAGCGCTTAGTTTGTCCAGACCTTTCCCTTTGGACAGAAGATGTCGGGCAAGCCAAGACTAGAACTCGGTGTGGTCAGGAGACTCATGCCCAGCCACTGTCCAGATCTTAAGTCTGGGGGTGGCGGACCCCTCAGTCCCTTCTGGGCAGGGGCAGGGTGCCCATCCTGGAGCCACCCTGGCTGCAGCTGCCCCTGTTTCCACATCGGCAGCAGCAAGGCCGGTGCCTGAGAAAACAGGAAGCGCCCAGTCACCACAGGAAGCATGTGTGCACTGCCTCCCCACCCCCTGCCCATTGCAAAACGCCAACAGCCCCATTACCACAGGCACCACACAGGGGCTGGGAAAAACGCTCCTGCCCCCGGGCCTGCCGTGGAGCAGGCACAGACCCTGGCTCCCATGGCCAGGGCTTTAACCTAGAGGAGCCTAGAGTGTTCTGGGCCCTGAGACCTCAGGCTGTTTTTCTTCAAAGTTCTCAGTCCAATACCCAAGCTAGTCTGAGCCAGGCCTACTGTGGCTGTCCTTAAATCAGAATATGGGGTCAGGGGTCACAGAGAAGCCATGTTTTAGATATGGTATTTGCCACTTGGAAATGCCTGGTCTTCAGACCCTTCAGAGCTTTGGCCAGGGTCTATTTCTAAGCCTTACCAAGGCCGTTAGGCTAGGGCCTGCTGTCCCCAGCACTCTAGGAAGGCTGCTGCTGTCAAATCTACACCCACTTCACCCTCTGACCAGATAATATTTAACCCCCCTGGTGTGGCCTGCCCCTGGGAGGCCAGAGCCCCTCCCATCCTACCATGCCTGCCCGACTCACCTCTCATTCCTGGTCCCCGTGCCCTGCCCTTGGAAAGTGATGGTAGTCCAGTGAGGCTGAGGCCCAGGGACTGAGGAGGCCTGTGTTCCTCCAACCTCGGGGGACAGCAAGGAAAAGAGAAGAGAGCAGAGCATTTCATGGCTATAATAAATCAAAGGGGGAAGTCGAAGCAGGAGAAATAACAAACTTCCCTAGCCTGGGCACGGGGACCTACCAAGCAGCAGGCTGGGGTGCCCATGGCCTTCCCTCCTGCCTCTCCAGCCAGCATCTAGAGCTCTTCTGAAGCTCAGGCAGCTCAGCTGCCCAGAGCCTCCTCCCCAGGTGTCTGTCCAAAAGCCCTTCTTACTGATCTCTGGGGCTAAGTGCCCCTGACTAGGAAACTTGGGTCCACATTTCCTCCAAGGAGGTACAGAAATCCCCAGGCTATCCCAAAGGACAGATGTCAGGCTGCATAGCAAAAGGTCATGAAGATGGGTGTCAGACCAAGAACCTCATGGAACAAAGTGAGGGTGGAACATCCTAAGAACTGTGGGCAAGATTCTTGGGGCTAGATGGACAAATGTCTGTGAGAAAAGATGGCTATGGCTGGGAGAAGAGGCAGAGCTGGCCCTGTCCTGTGACAACAGGCCAGGTCTTTATCGTGGCCTTGTTCTTGCTCCTTTCTCAACCCTCAGTTGCCTGGGGTCCAAGGTGTAGACATAGAATATACACAGCCATAGGAGGTAGCCACAGTGTATGTCTCTGAATTGCTCACTTAGGCAAAAGACTGAAAGGGGAGGTTTTTTAAAAAAAAGAGGGATCCCTTCCGTATTAAGAAGGATGAAGCCAGGCGGTGATGGTGCACACCTGGAACACGAGCATTCTGGAGGCAAAGGCAGGCAGATCTCTGAGTTCAAGGCCAACCTGGTCTACAGAGGGAGTCCAGGACAGCCAGGGCTACACAGAGAAACTTTGTCTCAAACACTCAAACAAACAAACAAACAACAAAGTATGAAAACTTGTATGAATTGTAAGATAAGAAATTTTTTTTTTCTAGTTTTGGAGTCTCCTATGAGACACGGCTCCACCCCCAGGAACCCTTCCTTCTGTTCCACATCTGCTACTGGGGCACAAGGCAAGGGGACAGGAGATGCCTCTGCTGAAGACCTTCTGCTGCCGTGAGCTCATTTGCTCCCACTGTGAGCCTCAGGTCCCAGTGCCACAGTGACATCTAGACAGCTACCCACGCAGAGCTCTGGGGAAAGAGTGGCGGGAACTGGCGTTCTCTGGCGCCTCCACTTCCTCAGCAATAGAACAAGATCACAGCATTTCTCTAGCAGCCTTGTCAGGCAGTGACTCCTGACAGAGCACAGGCTAGAGAGCCAAACAGATCATGGAGCCCCTTGGTAAGAGACCATTGCCTCCCTGAGCCTCAGATTCCAAATTTAGAAAAAGGGAGAATGCTTCCTTCAAAAGTCTGCACTGAGGGACAAACAAGGTTTGGAAAGAGGCCTCTGGTCATCCTGCGGCCAGCGTCACACCGCAGTCTCCTTCCTGCCTCCTCCCAGAAATCTCCACTTCCTCACCCCCCACCCCCGTACCTGACTGACTTAGGTGAGAACCTTGGCTCCTCACTCTTCTCTGAGCACCCCAGGGCCCCTGGCCTTGCTCTGACCTTTCCTGGTTTGAGAGGATGCCAGAGCCAGGCTTCTCAGCCCTGAGCCAAGGGGCTCCCCCTGGGAACAGAGATCTCAGAGGCCTCAGCGTCTGCTGGGGGCGGGACTCCCCCTTCCTGCTCACACTTCTTGCCCACCACCTCTATTTAGGTGACCTGTGGCATTCAGCAGTCCATTCAGACATACAGCATCTTTAGTCCTTGCCGTTGAAGGGTTAGCTCCATTTTACAGGTGAGAAAACTGAGGCCCAGAGCAGAGGAGCCAGGCGACCTAAGCTGAGTCCTCGAGCCCACCAGTCCAGAATAAATCCTATGCACACAATGAGTGTGTGACAGCTCATTTTGTTTAGAAAATAACTCAGAACCAGTGAAGTGGCCATGTCACCCCAGCGCTCTGCTCTGGTGGTTTGGCGCTTCTCCCAATCCTTTTGGATGATGATGCTAGAGTTGGAGAGACTGTGTCAGAAAAAACGGAAATTATAAATCTAGAATGAGAACTGAACATAGTGATACATGCCTGCTATCCAAGGCACTTGGGACATGGAGACAGGAAGATCAGAAGTTCAAGGTCATCTTCAACTACACAGCAAGTTCAAGACCAGCCTGAGCTGTGTGAGGCTTATCATCAGACAAAAACAAAAATAAAAACAAAACAGGGCCCTCGAGATGGCTCATTGGGTAAAGGCTCTTGCCACCAATCCTGGCAACCCGAGATCAGATCCCAGGACTCCCATGACTCCCGTGATTGAATAAGACAACACATGAGCACACATACACACTCTACATGTAATAATAATAGTCAGAAAAACAGAATGGGAGGCCCAGCATGGTGGCGCACACCTTTAATCCCAGCACTCAGGAGGCAGAGACAGGTGGGTCTCTGTGAGTTCGAGGTCAGCCTGGTCTACATAGTGAGTCCAGGACTACACAGAGAAACCCTGTCTCAAAAAACAAAAACAAAACAAAACCCGGGAATGTGACGTGGCTTCCTTGACCTCCTCACCTCTGGCATGCACCAGAGTAAGAGTAGCACGGGACTCTAGGGCAATGGCTCCCAGCCTCCCTGGTGCTGTGACCCTTTAACACAGTTCCTCATGTTGTGGTGACCCCACTCATAGAACCGCCTTCATTGCTATTTAATTACTATAATATTGACACTGTTATGAATCGTAATATAAATATCTATGTTTCCGATGGTCTTAGACCTCCCCTGTGAAAGAGCCATATGACCCCATATGAGAACTGCTGCTTTGTAAGGTAACAGGCTGAAGGGGGCATGTCCCCTGGGCTCCAGGTTTGGGCACCACACATTTGTAGTGTTTGGTTGGTTGGTTGGTTGGTTGGTTGGTTGGTTGGTTGGTTTGATTTTATGTGTGTAGATGTTTTACCTGAATGTATGTTTGTACATCACACGCATGCCTGGTACCCTTGAAAGCCAAAGGAAGACAATCAGATTCCCTGAAACTGGAGTTACAAACTGTTGTAAGCTGCCATGTGGGTGATGGGAACCAAATTCAGGACCTCCACAAGAGCTCCTGTCTGTCTGTCTGTCTGTCTGTCTGTCTGTTTTTGAGATGGGGTCTGTCTCTGGTTGGCCTTTAACGCACTACATAGACCAGGCTGGCCTTAAGCTGAAGAGAGATGTGCTGAGCGCTGGGATTAAAGGCTGTGTCACCACGCCCGGCCAAATTTGTAGGTTTTGAAGTCTGGTTCTGTGGCTGATAGCAGTCCTCGTGGAAGCCCCTCGAACCTAGAGTTGGGAAGTGCCCACCTGGCCTGGAAACGCTATGGAAGAGAACCGCTGCCTCCTTCCTGCCTGCTCTCTGGTCTTCACAACAGCTGTCCAGCAGGTGCTGGCATCACGCCCCCAACCGGTGGCCAGGAGGCAGGGGAAGCTCCGCCCCTCATCCCCTGCCTGCCTGGGTCCTGAAGCCCCTTCCTGTACAGTTCCAGCTTGGTTGCACATCACAGAGGGCCTTCCTTCCCTACCTGCCCTTCCGGCCAGGAAGCCCTAAGTGACAGGGTGGGACTTGATCTTCTTCGGGACCACTGCCTGGGCACAAAGGGGACGGGGCGTGGCTGCAGCAATAGGGTGCCGCTGTCAGCCTGCAGTGTGTCTTTGAACCTCCCTGTCCAGTAACCTGGGTTGGTGAGCTCTGAAGCTCTGGGAAAGAGGCATACAAGCCCCGCTGGGCGCCTCAGAGTGGCACTGCCCTAGGAAACTGGACTTGACCTTCTTTCTTAGTTTATGGGGCTTTCACCCCTGGGAAGGGAGTCTGCAATTCTGTATTTACGGTTTTGTAATCTTAGACTTCATCCAAAATTGTAAAACCCTGAGGCTCCACCTCTAATTGCTGGCTGTAAGTTCGGTAAACCCCTTTCCCCTCCATTCATTGGGGACCAGTGAAGCCTGACAGTCAGAAAGGTGTGGCAGGGCCAGCGAGGCCTCTGGGTACATCGGGCCCAAAACTCAAGACCAGCCCAAACCCACAGAGGACTTCCAGGTCGGCCTCTTCCATCCCACAGAGCAGTGGGGGAAGTGAGCTCCCACTCCTGCGTTTCCCAGCGGCGCTGGGCTGAGCTGAGCTGGGCTGAGCTGGGGCAGCCCCGCTGCCACTTGCCACTCGTCCGGAGGCGAGGGGACAGGGTAGGCCCCATGCCCCACTGCTCCCTTGGGTGGGTCCGGCTCTGAAGCAGGCGTGGTACCCTTCACCCCACCAAAGCAAAGGGTGCGGGGGTGGGGCCAGCCGCGTCCTGCACCGTCTGGCCGCAGGACTGACCCCGGCCTTATCTGCTGCCGCAGCTTCCCTCCCTCCGCCCCCCGACCCCGCCTCCAGCGCCGGACCCCAGGACCCAGGGGAGTCGGCGCCGCGGCGCTGCTGCCCAGCGGAGCGGAGCGCGCCGGCCCCCAGCTGGGCGGCGGAAGTGCTCACCCCCTAGCAGGGACCCTCCCTAACATCCTCACACCCCAAGCCTGCAAGGGCTCCCCAAACCGGCCTGCCCCCACTCCCAATGGGAGGGTCCCCCAAAGTCTTAGGGGACAAGGGAGCGGCGAAGGTCGTCAGGGTAATTAGGGATTCTGACTGGCACAGCCTTCGCGTGTGTACACACACCACACAAGCACACGCTCACGCCCAGCGTTGTCTGCCCAGGGGTGGAAGAAAAGAGAAAGGTGGAGATACCTCAGAGAAAGTGAACAGAGAACCACAGACTAGCGATGTGTGCTGTGTAGCCCAAGGGAGGACGAGCCCCTGCACAGGGTCAGAACAAAAGCAAGGAACCCAACAGAGAGAGCCACAGCTACAAAAGAGAAAACACATTGTCCAGCCAACACTCAAGGGACGCCCAGCCTCCCTGGTGAGCAGGGAGATGCAAACGAAGACCGCGGTGAGATGCCGTTTTACTGTTAGGCAAGATGAACACCCTTTTGTCAGGCAAGATGAACTAGCCTATCAGACTCCTGCGGCTGA